TATCCACTTATCCACTGAGACTCAGCATCATTAGGATAAGAATTTAAAAAAATTTTAAGTTTTATCTTTTAATTAAAACTTAGGTTTTCGGGGTGCCTGGGTGGCTCAGTGGGTTAAAGCCTCTGCCTTCAGCTCAGGTCATGGTCCCAGGGTCCTGGGATCGAGCCCCACATTGGGCTCTCTGCTTGGCAGAAAGCCTGCTTCCTCCTCTCACTCTGCCTGCCTCTCTGCCTACTTGGTATCTTTGTCTGTCAAATAAATAAATAAAATCTTAAAAAAAAACAAAAAAACAAAAAACTTATGTTTTCAATACCAGACTTGGTCTCATGAGATTATTATAAGAATTTTTTAAAAGAAATATTTGAAAAGCAGTTTTATCTTTTTATTAAAAAGTAATTATTTTCTAATGAAGTTACTAGATTTTAAAAAATTACTGAAACTCATACATTGCTGATGGGAATGTAAAATGGCACAAGTACTCAGGGAAATAGTTCGGCAGTTTCTTAGAAAGTTGAACATACAGCTACCATGTGACACAACAGTTGAACTCCTAGATCTTTATCCTGGAGATATGAACACTTATGTTCACAGAAAAGCCCATATGTGACTGTCCATGTCAGGTTTATTTGCAACTGCAAAAGACTGTAAACAACTGAAATATTCAGTGGGCAAATGTATAAATTGTGATACATTCATGCTATGGAGTACTACCAGCCAAAAAAGGGGATAAACTACTGATAACTCCCAGCAACTTGGATGGCTCTTATGGACATTGTGCTGAGTGAAAAAAGCCAGTCTCAAAGGTCACATTCTGTATGATTCCATTTATATAACATTCTCACACTGACAATTACAGTGATTGAGATCAGTGGTTGCCAGGACTGTTGAGGAGGGTGTGGCTATAGAGGGGTAACATGAGGGAGGTCATTGTGTTAATGGAATATTTCTATAACTGTGATGATACTTAAATCTGTATATGTGGTAAGATTTCATGGGAACAATGCACCCTCTCCCCCAAATGAGTGATACAGAAACCAGTAAATACAATAAAGTCTGTAGTTTAGCTAGTAAGTGTTGTACCATTGTCAGTATCCTGGTTTTGATACTGTACTATGTTATATAAGTTACATTTAGAGGAAGCCTACCTGAGAATTCTGTGGGGTTTTTACAACTTCTTGTGAATGTTAAATGATTTCAAAATAAGCTTAAAAACAAAAGAGGGACTTGAGAAAAGATGATGGACATAGCAGCTGTGGCCACAGGTCTCTGTGATCAGGTATTGAGCCTTACCGTCTTACAGAGAGACTGGTAGAGGAGTCATCCTTGGCTTTGGGGCTTTATGGCTGTTGGTCGTGAATGGGGCTCAGACAAGGGGCTCTAAAAACACGGGATGAATGGACTGCCAGTTGAGCAAAGCAGATTGGCCATTTTTTCCCCTTTTTCTTCGAAGAATACATTGAATTGACAGCAACGGATCTTGAAAAGGAGTGGGGGGTACCATAAACCCATGGTGTTAAGGCTTGAAGAAGACTTTAAGAAGATTTAGCAGTTGATAAAAGACCTAAGAAGATTTGGGGTGATAGAAAATGGACAGAGGAGTGGTAGCTGCCTTAAGAAAACCTAAAGAATCTGCAGTGGGAGAACTGATGAAGGCTGCACCGTTCATCCCCAGAGGCTGAGGAGCAGTCCCACAGAAGGTGGGAATGGAGGGACACCCAGGGCTAGAGTAGGAGTTACACAGTTTGGTTAAACTGCTAGTTTTCCTTTCCCACCCAACCACCAGTACTATCAGCAGCTCCCTCTGCCTGGCAGACTGGAGATTTAAACCTAGGATATGTTGAATCAGAGGAGTTCTCCATGTGGAAACACCAGCAGGAGGAAATAAACCCTGGAGTTGGAGTAGAGAGGAGGGTAGTTCAGTAAAAATCAGTCCAGTAAACTGTGGAATTCCCAATCCACTCCCCTTCGTGATGGGGAAAGCTGACCCAGTGATTGTCTCTTCCTCTACCCTTAACAGAAAATGAGAAACTTCTCTGAAGAGACTCAGTGGACCCTGGTTACTGTCACAGGGCCAGTTTCTCTATAGCTGACTTGTCCAATCACTCCAAATGAACCTGCTAGTCAACAACCACCCTTTGTTTACACCCACACCCACAAGCTTCAAGCCACCATTCTAGGGCTTTACTCTTAAATATGAACTGGCGATCAGGTATCACCAGATGTTTGAAAGCCTCCAACATAAAAGATAGATGGATACCAAACAGTGAAAAGAAACAATCAGGAGATAATATGGGAAACTGGAAGATATTACTTTCAGTTTATTCAAATTAGAGACAATATTCACAAAACAAGAACAGGATGCTTTTAAAAAGGAATAACCAGGGGGTACCTGGTTGACTTGGTTGGTTAAGCATCCAACTCTGGGTTTCAGCTCAGGTCATGATCTCATGGGTCATGGAATTGAGCTCTGCACTGGGCTCCACACTCAGTGGGGGAGTCTGCTTGAAGTTTCTTTCCTTCTGACCCTTCCCCTGCTCTCATGCTCACTCACTCATGCTCTCTCTCTCAAATAAATCCTGAAGAGAAATGGGGGTGGGGCATGGGAGAATAACTAAAAACTCTGAAAGAGCCCTAGTGGGGACTCTGCTCAAGATTCTGTCTCTCCTCCCTCTGCCCCTCCCTGCTCTTGCATGCACTCCCTGCCTCCCTCCCTCTCTCCAGAATAAATAAATCTTAAAAAATAAAGTAACATAATAAGAGTTGGAATGTGAAGTTACCTGTCAGAAATGGGGAAATAAAAGTGGAAAATTAGAGAAAAAAGGTAAAATGATTAGAGAAGAAATCAGGATATGTAAAATATTCATCAGAATTCCAGAAATTAGGGAGAGAGAAGAAACAAAATAGGAACATTTTTCAGACCTAAAGGATGTAATTTTTTTTAAATGGAAGGGGTGAATCAAGTGCCCAATAAAATAAATGAAAAAATTCGCACACCGAGACAGACCACTATGTAGTATACAGGGCTTCCAAAAATAAGCATCCCCCTACAAAGTCCTATACAAAGGAAGAAGAAATGATGGCTGACTTCTCAATAGCAAAACTGGATGTTAAAAATAGTGGGGCAATATCTTTAAAATTCTAAAAGAGAATCACTTGAGCTCTGTAATACTCTACCCAGCAAAATATCAATCAAATATCAAGGTAAAGGTAATTTCAGACACATGGGGACTCAAATTTATCTCTTATGCATCATTTCTTAGGTTGCTCTTGGAGAATGATCCCCAGCAAATAGGAATAAATGAAGAAAGAGGAAGGTGTGGAGTCCAGCTAATGAGAGCTCTAACACAGGGGATCAGAAAGGGATATGTAAGGGTAACAGTGTGGCAGGGACAGTCAGGCCAGACTGAGCAAGAGGACAGAGAGTCCTTGGACGAAGTTCTGGGGGAAAATGGAGTGGAAGCTTAGCTGACAACTTTGTGTGTTAACTTTGTGCGTTGAGAAATACTGATAGACTTCTGCTAGATGTGATAGAGCATGTGGAAAAATTTAAGGTGGATTCATGGAAAACTAAGCGAGGAGGAGGGGATGAAATGATTGTTAATCCCAGGAGAAACAAAGACTGTACCAAGAAAGGAAACCTAATCCTTAGTACATTCCTTTCATTGTATGACCAATATTTACAAAGTCCTAATAACCCTGACTATCGACTTACCAGGAAATTGCTGTTTAATTATGTAGGAAGGATTGAAGTAGGGGAAGAGGGGTGGTGTGGAGAGCTGAGCCTTCATCTACTATAGTAGAAAGCCAGTGGTTATCATCCAAAATTTGAAAAATCAAGAATATTATCCCAAACTTTGGAAATAAATACAAGAATAGTGGGTTAGTTGAAAGTGCTCTTGGGAGTAAGTTCAGGTTTGAGGGAAGGTTGAGCCTGGGGTTGTTTTTCATGATAAGCCTTTATCACTGTTTGATAAAATAAGTTATTATGTTCTCTCTGTACTGATTTATAAAGGAGAACCTTTTTATCCAGCAGAGCATGTATATCAAGTATCTGCCTCTTTGAATGTTGGGTATTTTTCATTCTTTTTATTGCTTGGTCCTCTACAAACAGGGTTCACATTTTGAGGGGGTGGGTAAGGAGACTTGAGTGGTCTGCCTGGAATGATTAATGCTGTGAAGCTCATTATTCATAGGTGTAATGTATTTGTAGATACATTCATTCGCCATGTGTTCTGAGTCAAGAACTCAGAGCCCATAAGAATGATCTATTGTCTCTACTTTGATTTAGGATATTTTAAGTTTAGAACAACTGTCTAAATAATTGACTGTCTCAATACTTACCATAGTATTTGTCTCTATGTTTATGACTTTCTAGTGCTACAGGAATGACACTTTTAGAAATGAAAACCATAATATTTTCACAGCTATGACATCATGAAATCCAGGATAGGGAAACCGTGCCTTCCCATCTACTGTGTGCATAGGACCTACCACTTGGTGGTTACTACATGAGTACTTAATGAATGAACAAGATCTCTTAGAAATTTCTGTTCAATTGATAACCTAGAAATTTCTGTTCAATTGATAACCAAGACATTGCTCATATAATTAAGTTCCGATCATGTGCACCTGTTTTTAACACTCACCTGACAACCATTAACCTACTTAAAACCAAAGGAAGCATCAGCTTCTGGGCCCATAGTCCCTGTGGGGTATGCTTGTAGGTATGCATGTCTGCTACTTGCTCCATTTACAGTAGGTTCTAGGCAGCCCTTGAGCAATGGAAAACTGCCAGGATTACACACGCCTTGCTGGTGCAAGAACCCTGTTCCATCTGTAAGGAAATATATGCTTTTTATTATTTCGGAATAAACGTTCATGGCTTTGTAGACTGTACTGTCAAGCATACATAGGTATCCCAGGCTATTTAGTGACAAAATCTAAAGATTATTTGATCCACTGTTTGCTTACTTTATTAATTTGTTTGTTTTATTTGTCAGAATGTTATGGAACAGTTCAATCCTGGGCTACGAAATTTGATAAACCTAGGAAAAAATTATGAAAAAGCTGTTAATGGTAAGTCTCTTTTTTGAATTTATAAATATAGTGCACATATAAAAACTGTTTAGTCGATATTTTACTTAATTATTTTGAAGTGCTTAATAGCGAAATTTTAAAATATCTTTAAGTTGGTAGAAATTATTTAATTCTATGGAAGTTTGCAATGATAGGATATTAGTGTATTTGAAATGAATAAATGGAAGACGATGGAACAGTCTTTTGACAGTTGTGATACATTTCATGATCAAATCATGGTTATTGATGTGACTCAGTATTTTATATCATTACCGTCAATATGTTTACCACTTTGCAAAACAAATTCTTTGTGAACTAATAACATATGAAATGCGTACTTAAAATATTTATTAGTATTTTGTAGCAAAGGAATTGTTCTCTTTATAAAGAATTTCTTGCTTTTGGGTGTATAACTTTTGATAGTGATATCAGCACATTTTTATCCTGAATGGAAAAACATCTAAATTAAAGGTTGAACTTAGATTCTCATTTCAAAATGAGTGCTTCCTGTAAAATGAATTCAGGCATTTGCTATTGTCTCTCTTTGTGAACCAGACTTGCTTGCTAGTTTCAGGAGGTTTCATTTGAGAAAGCTGACCTGCATCTACACATGCATTTCCCTACTAGAAGGTGAATGTTATCAATGATCACCTTAAAAACTTGAGATACTGGGGTGCCTGGGTGGCTCAGTGGGTTAAGCCTCTGCCTTCGGCTCAGGTCCTGATCTCAGGGTCCTGGGATCGAGCCCCACATTGGGCTCTCTGCTCCGCGGGGAGGCTGCTTCCTCCTCTCTCTCTGCCTCTCTGCCTACTTGTGATCTCATCAAATAAATAAATAAAATATTGTTTAAAAAAAAAAAAAAACTTGAGATGCTAATAATCACCAAATTCTAACATGGTCAAAACAATTCTCCTTATGTAACAAGCGTCACCCCCAAAATATTCAGACCCCAGTTTCACCCTCTACCCTGGTTCACTAAGGCCACCAAGTAACATGAGTAAATTTAGTTTCCAATAGTTTTAGATTTGAAGACTTCAGATCAGGTTTTGTGTCTTTTATGTATAGTTTGTTTCTCCTATTCACCATGGCCCACTTTTGGCTGCTCCCTCTTGAGATTCTGAGAATAAACCCCTGGACTTACACACTCTGAGCATAAGCGTGCCCCAGGAAAAGGGGGTATGGTAGCTAGACTTCGGATGACAGGTGTCCAGTTGTCATAGTCATAGAAAAGTAAAGTGCTTATTTACTATCTTCTGCAGTATCAGTGATTTCTGTAGGTAACCCCTCACCCCTTCAAAAAGCAGGACGGAGACTTGTTTTAGAATTCTTGTACAGCTGACTCTCCCTTGATGGCTGCTTAGTCACAAGGCCACAAAGTCATTGCCTTAGATGCCCGTGTGAAGTAAATCACCATGACCTGCAGTGTTTTGTTTTGTTTGTTTGTTTTTTCTTTCTAGCACTTGCTACCTCTCTGAGGCAGTTATATAAGGTGACTCAAGGACCTGCCAGCAGCTTAGTCTCTTGCTAACAAGGCTTTTCCCCAAAGGGACTATTCTGCACTTTTAAAGTATTTCCAGTTTTTTTCTTTTCTTGCGGGCCATCTGTTTTTTACTGAAGCCATTGAGAAATCAAGATGAATTTGTAAAGTCCTTGGTAAGAATTTGTAGCATAGTTTAGGATGCCAGATGTGCAGTCAGCACTTAGGTCATAAATCAAGACAACACGCAGAGCTAACGAAGAGCATGGAATGAGCAGTGTCACAGGAATTTGAATAGTGAAGGTTGGTGGGAAACAGAGCAGGCAGTGGGCCTTGTAGGAGGTGTGCTAGCTGACAAATGTTAGGTTTCAGGCAGAAAAGACCTCATCCAAGCCTAGATCTGAGGTCCACACTGGCATGGTTGGGAAGCTGTTGGGAAATAATAAAATGCAAGTGGAGTAGGGTCAGGTTCTTAATGCATTTGAATGCAGGGTCAGTTACCTGTTGTCAAGTTATCAAGGGTCCCTAACTTGGTGGCCTAAGACAACAATATTTTATTATTTCTCAAGGTCCTGTAAAGGCAGTGCAGTTCTCTAGCCCCCAGGGGTTCCATCCTACAGCTGTAGTCAGCCAGGGATGCTGGGCTCCTTCCCTCCCTCTTGGGGGCATAGCAGGCTGTTGCAAGAACGCAAACACCTGAGGGAGTTATGCTTGCTGGCATCCCATTGGCAAGTCAGATGACCAAGCCACACAAAATATATAGGCGACTGCAAAGGTTGGGAATTCTGGGAGGTGTGGTTTATTGAAGGCCATTACTGTACAAATCTATCATGAACTCTGTGGCTTATGGGCTTACACTATGGGCAGTGGAGGCTATTACAAGTTTTGATCAGAATTGTAACCTAATGAAGTCATATCTTAAAAAATTATCTGGCAGAAGTATATAGATTAGATTGGTGAATTAGTCGGTCAGCCACTAACATAGAACAAATATGCTTTGTTTCCTTAAACAATAAATGATAGAAACTCTCTTAATGTATTCACCAAGTGGGGATGGCAAAATTATGAGAATATTGTTTGATTCTTTATTAAGTTCTGGATAAATTATATAGTTTTTAAAGTTAACTCCACTTTATGGTAAAAGCAAGAGCATTTTGCCATTCTGAGGTTAGTTTTAAACATAAGTCATCAGTTAATGAAAAATGTCAATGTAATGCGTGAAGGCAAACCAAAAATTGTGTTTATATATTGTGTAAGCCTTCATGCTGTTCTCCCACTGATCTGCTTTTCAGCTTTATCAGTATCTTAAAATTTAAAATCTTCACATTAAAATACTGCACATACTAGCTTGACCGTTTATTGGCTACCAACCTTGTTTTTAGGTGGAGTCTTCCCTTTTTCAGTTCTAGCTGAGATCAGAGAGTCAAAAAGCACTATAACTGAACTGAGGAGGTGACCTTTGCTGGAGTTTCATGCACTCCCTCTGATTTGCCACTGACCTTGGGCATGTCCCAGCATATCTCCACTCCACTCTCCTTCATGAAACAGGGTGATAAAACCACTGACCAACGTCTTCATATTCTTGAAAAACTTAACTAATGGCATGGAAGGTCCGCATAAATGCTACTTGTTATTGTTCTTTTTTACAATTATACTTTAAGGTTATTCTCAGACTTACGAAGTAACTGTATAATAGAGTGTTAGAGTTGTTAAACTTGTACACATATAGTAAAAGCCATAAAATCTATAACTTTTTAACTCAACAAGAAATGCTGAAATGGATGAATTTGCCATGAAAATACTACTTTTTTGGCCAGTAATATCTTCAGCTGGACTTGTACATAATTTGTTCTGTGACCTCCCCCTTTTTATACTTGAAATGCCTTTTTAATTCACCATTTTAAAACAATACCCATCATAAAATAGGGGGAAAGTAGTTGGTTTGGCCTCTGGTTTTCTTCACAGTAAAAGGAAAGGAATCTTAGAGATTCCTAAGGGCTCTTTTAGCTCCAAAATTCTGTGTTCTTCAAAGTTCATCTTTGAGTGAAGTGAAACAAATTTTCTTCAAAATCACCCTAAATAGGCTAGGTCTTGCTGAAAAGCCTGGTGGTTGTAAAATGAAAGAAGGAATTCGTATTAATAACTTTTTATTTGTTTGTTCAGTGGTCCTGCTATTAAGACATTTTATTTATTTATTTTTTTTTAAGATTTTATTTATTTGTCAGAGAGATCACAAGTAGGCAGAGAGGCAGGCCGGGGGGAGGGGGAAGCAGGCTCCCCACCAGCAGAGAGCCCGATGCGGGGCTCAATCCGAGGACCCTGAGATCATGACCTGAGCCGAAGGCGGAACACACTGAGCCACCCAGGCGCCCCATTAAAACATATTATAGATGACCGTCCTTTGTTTCAGAAAGGATAGCTACCTTGCCCAAGGAAGTCATGTCATTAGAAGTGAAGGTGGAATTCAAACTCAGGTTTCTCTTGCCCTCAGTTCCTCTCCCCAAAGAAAAAGAAAGGAAAAGAAAAATCAAAAACAGATTTTTGTACCTTATAATATAGTCATCAGAATCAATTTGAAAGGAGAGCTACTATTTTAAGATGATTAGTTTCTACAGCAATGAAAGTTTCCCTTGTCTCTGCCAGAAAGTTGGTGGGGGCAGGATAGAACCTTCAATTATTTTTCAGGTCATTCTTTTGTGTTTTTAGAATGATAATGTATTTCAAATCTCATAGGTCTTTTTCCCTGACAACAAATATATTATTGGTTGTGGCTCAGAATACCTTTTTCTTTCTTTTTTTTTAAAGATTTTATTTATTTGACACAGAGCAAGTGAGAGAGAGAGAGAGAGAGAGAGAGAGAGAACAAGCCCAAGCAGGGGGAACGACAGGCAGGGGAGAGAAGCAGGCTCCCCACTGAGCAAGGACTCTGATGTGGGGCTCAATCCCAGGACCCTGACCTGATCATGACCTGAGCTGAAGGCAGAGGCTTAAAACTGAGCCACCCAGGTGCCCCTCAGAATACCTTTTTCAGGGGCGCTTGGGTGGCTTAGTTGGTTAAAACCTCTTCCTTCAGCTCAGATCATGATCTGAGGGTCCTGGGATCGAGCCCCACATCGGGCCCTCTGCTCAGCGGGGAGCCTGCTTCCTACTTACTCTCTCTCTCTCTCTCTGCCAACCTCTCTGCCTACTTGTGATCTCTGTGTGTCAAAGAAATAAAATCTTTAAAAAAAAAAGAAAAAAAGAAAGACCAGGTTCCTGGGGCACTGCGTACAAGTTCTTCTAACTAATAATGTTGCAGACCTATAGAGCTGTAGAATAACCGGCTGAGGAAAGATTTCTTGCTGGAGTGGATGTGTTTGCAGCCCTAATTTGATATTGAAAACACATCCACTCTGGAACTGGCATCATGATGAAAGCAGGGCCTTTTCTGGACTTCCAGAGCCTGCTATTGAAGGTTCCCCAGGATCCTAAGATGAGGATCCGATAGGGTTTTCCACTGAGTGGGGGCCTCTGGAAGTGCAGTGGAGAGATCCCTGTCCCTGGCACAGCTATTAAACACCAGCCCTACCTTTTGAAAGCCACCCTTGGCACAGCCCAGACCTTCCTATAGCCAGAAGGGACTGAGAGGTATTTGGAAGCAAACCTCCATGGCACTTTCTCTTTTCTTTGTCTAAGTGATGATTTTTTGTGTCACTTTCCTTGTCTAGCTATGATCCTTGCGGGAAAAGCCTACTACGATGGAGTGGCCAAGATTGGTGAGATTGCCACCGGGTCCCCTGTGTCGACAGAGCTGGGTGAGCTGACTGTCCATTATATACAAACACAAGTCAAGCTGGTTGCAGGGCCTTTCCTCCTGTGAGCCCTAACAGGAACATATGAAGTGGCCCAAATCCAGAATAGTAAGAAGAGCTAGCCCAGTACTCCAGTGTGTTCACTTCTAGGATGATTGAATTTGCTGTGGTCTGTCGAAAGTGGAGGCTTAGTTAGAGGGCAGGCCAAGGCCAGTGGCTGGCCTCCCTGCTCCCTAGGAATTGGGCTTCTGCCTCTAAACTTGGGGCCCTAGCCCTTCCCCTTGGATCCCTGGAGCATGAAGCCCAGGGAGCTTTGACCTACATTCTTAAGGAGATGGGCATGGCGGGCCTCCTGACTCTGGCAGGAGTGTTTCCTGTGACTCACCTAGCAGAAAGTCAGACTCCTTTACGTCCTGCTCTTGGCTCTCGCTGCTTCCACAGTTGCTCTCAGTTGTGATTTTTCCGGTTTTGCTGGTATGAATTGATCTCCTGTGCGCACCCGAAGGGCAGCCACACCCTCAGCACCACCAGCCTCCGAGGGTATCTAGGTTTCTGTTTACAGAGTCCGTTCACTGCGCCCTCTCCTAAGGGGGGAAAAGTCGCTGTTTTTCCTTTTCTAATAGCCCCACACATAACCATCATTTTAAAATCTTGAATAAAGAATGAAATATGTTTTATTTTAAATAAATATGTTTTATTTTACGAGGGGTAAGATGTCTGGCTTCAAAATGTCTGCCATAATTTGAAATGTTCAGAATAGCAGAGGAAAATATTGGTGGAGTGTGTGTATTTAAAGAAATGTGTTTTGGGGCACCTGGGGGGCTCAGTGGGTTAAAGAAAAGTGTTTCTCCGATTAAAAAGCAGAAAGGGAAGCTGGGGTCGGGGGGAGCTTGTGGGGAACATACATTTAGGATTCAAATAATTCACATCATTTCTGTATAAAGTGTCTTAAGTGTTTTCAAGATTGCTTGGAGAACTCTTACCTGACCCATAAAAGTGGAGGAACAAATTCAAGGTGTGATAACAGTGCTGGGGTTGGGGGCTGGGCTGCAGGATGTGAAGTGGAACTGGGCGCTCAGGAACATTCTCTGTCAACTTCGGTTCTTGAAGGGTTTGTAAAGAGTCTTGAAACCTAAGCCTGAAGTGATGTCGTGTGATAAATAAGTCCATACTGCTCTATTTAGTAAAATAGAATAGTTATATGCAGAAATTTTTCAAAGCCCTGACTTGTGTTCGGTTGGTGCCGTCACTTGTGCGTGTTCTGGCAAGGTATGGACTCTAGAAACTCAGTCCTCACCAGAGTCCGTTTAATAAAATACACGCTGCTTTGTGTAGACAGAAGCAGATAGTAAAACTTACTGGGATGATGGAGATGATTAGAGGTTTCCAAAAATAGGATTAAATTAAAAAGAAACATCCTATTTGTGTCAGGCGCCATGGGAAAATGTATGACCCCTACATTAAACCATATGGTGCTCTGATTCACCATCGTTCAGTTTGCCTTTTTAATGTTTTATGGTTCTCGCCACTGTTTAAATAAGATTTCTGTTCCACACCTTACTTTATTCAGCTGTGAATTCATAACGTTGAGTCAGCCATTTCCACAGCAACTGTGTTGTTGCAAACACGGGCTGAAAACTTCTTCAGTTTGGACAAGGAAACTACGTCGCAGTGGTGAGATTTCTTTCATGTGGATGTGCGTTCTCTTTGGAGGGAATGGAAATAACTTGTGTTTTATTTTTGTTTCAAGTTGCCTTTTTGCTTATAGTCCCCACGTCATATAGTTAGTAATTTTCTGCTCATCTGCAGCAATTTTACAATAAAGTGCTGCTCTAGCAAGCTTTGCTTTTGGACGCCCCGTGTTTAACTTGTTTTCACGTGCCTGGTTTTTTATTTTGTTTAAAGTGTAGGCTAAAATACTACCCTATGTCTGTTTAAATCCCATGTATGAAAGACTAATGAAAAATTCATAGATGAAAGAGCCCTAAGGTAGATTCTGTTTCTCTCATTTTTCAAGGTTTTTTTGTCTAATTACTGACTTTTGGTATTTTTATTCCTACTTTATTATGAAACATTATAAATCCCATCTGATAAAACTGAAGGGGCATTTCATATGTGAAGATCATGAATCAATTCAAAATTTTCATTCTTGAAGAGTATTGTCTCTGAAAAACCTTTGTGTGTGTCCCTCCCCTCCATCCCCAGCAAATCCTAGTTTTAAAATTTCAGTTTAAAAATTTTGCTCAGGAAGGAAGTGAAAGGGATGCTGAAGAATTCTTATCCTTTCTAAAACTGAGATTATGAGAGTAGTTTTCATTTTAATATTGAATTCAAATATTTTTTAATGTTGCTGTAGGACAACCTTTGTGATTTTACATACTTTTTTACATGAAGTTTCTGTTTATTCTGATACTTTTGTACTTTGGGAGGTGGATGAAGAAAATATCCTCTAGGTAAAATATTGACCTAATTCATAGAAATTTGCTGTGAGGATTCTACTTGGAAAACCTGGTCAAATGTATTATGAGTGTTAATTAGAGGGGCAGAACTGAGCATTTCAGTCTCTCTTCTCACATTAGGGGGAAAAAAGATCTAAAAGCTGGAGGAAAAAGGTGATTCACCTTTTGCTTATTTTATACTTGTCATTTGGATTGGCATCCACTAAGAGCTGTAGCCATGCCATTTCTGATTCCTGGCTATGGGTGTTTCCATTTAGATATCCCTCTTAACACATCAGCTCACCAAATACTATGTGAATAATTTTAAGATGCTCTTGCCTAAAAGTAACACATACCCAATTAGTAGTGGCTTAGGCATAAAGGATGTTCATTAACACACATAAGAAGGCCAGGAGTAGCAGATGCCTACTTAGGTAATGATTACTAAGAGCTTAGGTTCCTTCTCTCTTTCTTTTCATCCTCAAGCTCAACTCATGGTACCAAGATGGCTGCCATTGCTAGTCTTAGGCGTCACATCCTCTCTCCTCCCATTGTATCCAAAAGCAGGAAGAGGAATTTCTTCTCAGTTGTGCCCTTTACAAAGAGGAAGCCTTTCCCTGGCAGCCCCAGCACATATATCCTCTCATTTCTCATGACCCTGCAGCCAGAGAGCTTTCCCCAGCATTGTTAGCCAAGGAATACATCTGAGGGGGAGAGGACATAGCTGCTAGGAGGACAGGTATTAAGGGTCTTGTTTCAGCAATTTTCAGTGAAAGGAAAGGCCTTATACAAATGTCCTTGCTTTAGCTATGCCTCGGACTGCATAGTGCTTCTGGCATTCTGTGTCTCTGTGGGATTATGTTTTTCTCCCACATGGAGTATGGTTTCACTAGCATGTATATACCTCAGACATTACAATTGTTACTTCTCCTGGATACTTGCTTTTTCTGCTGAAAACCATAGCCATCTTTTGCAGTCTGTTCCTATTTGGGATGTGGAAACAGAGGAAGAGTTAGGGATTTGGGGGCAGTTTCTGTTTTTCTGCCCTTTTGTTTTTCTTTTCAGCCTTTGGGTGACTTGTAATCATGAACTCTGAGGTGCATTTTCTCTGCCTCTGCTACTTTCCTTTCTTTCCTTCTCTCTTCTTCCTCTCTGCCCATGTGTCTGTGTGACCTTACAGCCTCATTTTTAAGAAACTGGGGGACCAGAGGAAAAAAGTCACCTGTAATTTTACCACTTTGACACAAGTACTTTGTCATCACTATATTCTTTTCTGGTCTTTTCTTCCCTTGAGGATACTCATATACAGCATGTCTCATGGCATATGTCGGGTGCTGGCTCTGCCCGGCACAGGGCCCAGCGCCTGATAGGTGTTATTTAATCTCAGAAACCCAATAGCCCTGAGTTGGGTGTAGACACTTTCACTATCTCTCTAGGTGAGACCTGGAAGGGAAGGGTGTGCCTTAGATCACACAGTGGATAATAGGTGGTTCAACTTTAGATTCTGAGTTCCTTGCCTTTGCACTATACCATGCTTGACTGAGGCAAAGAGAAAAAGAGCCAGCCAGCCAAGAAGGGGCCACTGAAGAGGAAGAAGATGGGAACCCCACAATGGGGACCTTTTCAAGAGGGAGATGAGCAGGAAGTAGTGTCAGTGGCCAAAGACTGCAGAGAGGCTGGCAGCTGTAGTGATGAGAGGTCACTGGTCCCCTCGGAATGGGTGGTGATTTCACTAAGGTGCTGACCGGAAATGCCAGGTGTCATGTTACAGGGTTAGGAAGGATGGAAATTACAGAGAAGTTTACATATATATATATGTTTATATACACATGTGTATGTGTAAAATGTATGTTAGATAATATAGCATATATGGCTTTTATAGGTCCTGCTTGACTTTTGCACTTGCACTTCTGTGCTTCATACAGAAACTCAGATCTCATTAAGTGCCTGCCTGCTGTGTGTCATGTACTTTTTACACTGCCTCATCTCATCCTCGGGAGCCTCATGGATGAATTTTTCCTTCATGATTGGCAGGGTGGGCAATAACCCAGTGTTTTCCTTGATGTGACTAATACGCCCTAAGGGTAAACTTGGCAGTCACCTTCTTCCACCTGGTGGGTAACCACGTTGGGTCCTGAGTCCCTGACGATGTGCTCTGTACCCAAGCAAGACAGAATAAGGGTTATAAGAGTTGATGACTCCTAGAGAGTATGGTAGGTGACATCGGTGTCAATGTGGGTCATAGAGTGCCTCCCTCCCCAACTGAAGCACAGGAAAGATCCTAGAACCTAGGACAAGGAGGCCAGGCTAAATTTTATTTTCCCTTGAGACGCTGGCGGATAGCAGGATGCCCAGCACCTAGGAGATGCTCAGTGTGCTGCTGTCGACTTGTGTGACTTTGGGCAACATTTCATGTCTGTGAGCCGTTGGCATGCCCATGGGGGATGACGGTAACCCCTTCTGAACTGTGTGAAGATGAAATGAGATAATGTGCCTTGTGGACTCTAAAGTTTCGAAGACCAGAAAGATGACTCTCTGCTGCCACTTCTTATGCACAAATATTTG